TGGCCCCCTGGTCCCAGGACCCATGACCAGCCCAGAGGAGCTACCCCAGGGGCTCGGCAGCAGCTACTAGTTGAAGAAGCTTGTATAGAGCAGTCATTCCTCTATACCCAGCTGCCAGGATCAGAGCACAAGGTGGGCAGTTGGTCCTAAGTGGTACAAAACTGTCAAGGGAGTAGGACTTTTTGTAACAGGAGGTCCTAGAAAACCTCCTGGCAAATATGAATTCTTCCAGGACTCAGGCCCAGGTGAGCATGGGCTCTCAGGGCCTTGATACCGGATGAGAAGCTGACTCACCTAGACGTCACCTGGAATAGCAGGGATGACTGGGGCCTTGATGAGTCTCAGTCAACACTGTTCCTGTTTACCTCGGCCTGTTAAGGCATTTGATGCACAAGGGGGCTCACATTCTCAGCAGTGGAACCCACAGGACCTTGGGCTAGAGACAACGGAATGGACTAAAACTCTGCAGGCCCAAGTCAAGGCAGCTGGAAGCTATGTCTTAACAGCTCAGGGCTCCTAGCCTAAGCTGTGCTGCAAAGTCCACAGACTGGAAAAGCGATTCGAAGTACATAGAAGTTCCTTCTGTGACAAGAAAAAAGATAGAACAAAGATGCCTTCACACATAGTTAATGAGGAATCCAATTGCTATTGCAATAATAATAATAATAATAATAATAATGCATATATATGACTAATAAACTGTTCCTACAAATTACGTGGTCAAACCAACATCTTAAATTTTCTCTAGTCATTTTACCAGTTCTCAAATGTCAGTGATGATTGGCATTTTCTCCTCATACTGCATAACCACTAGTGGGAGCACGAAAGTTGACAATGCAGCCACTTGAAAAGCAGAGGCCCTTGGTGCCGGAACCCAATGACCCCCTCCTTACCCTCATGCTGGAACTCCCCTACTCCAGCGTCTGTGAGTGAAGTCCCCTCTTAAGCCATGACACTCACACCCTCAGGTTACTGGGTAGCTGCCCTTCCCTCCGACTCCACCATGATTCCAAGCAGAGAAGACTTGATAACAGAAAACCCTGCTCTTGGGGAGTGGGCTGCGAATTGAGAGAACTCTGGAAGAGTTGGGGCCCCGAACCCAGCCCAGCTTGCTGTGACTCATGTTTGCATTCAGCTGTGGTGACTACCTGGCCCTTTACAAGAGCCAATGACCTTGTGTGCCTCCAGGTGGGCAGATGGCACCGCAGCCTTGCACTGTGGGGCTTGGCGTCTCACTAAGTTCATTCATTCGCCCACTTACTCACTGGTATGAGGGGAAGGGGTGCAAAATCAGATTCAACCTCTGTGTTCATAGGCCTTACTCAAGAGTGAGGAGACAGAAGTTACCCAGTGTCACAAATGGACGATCATGAAAGATAAGGACCATGAGGGAGAAGAACGTGGGGCTTCAAGAACATTGTGAGTAACGGAGAAGCCCGACCTGGTCAAAGAGGTGAGGAAGAGTTTCCCTGGGGAAGTGTCATTTTGCTGAGCTCTGAAGGCCGAGCAGGACTTTACAGTGTGTCATGTGGCCCCACAAGGTGGGGAGGGAAGGGTGAGGAGCGTCCCCGGCCGTGGCAGAATGTCGTGGTACGGGGGACACCGCCAATGTCAGTGTCAGGAGCTGTCAGGAGACCAATGTCCTCGGAGCACAGAGGGCGGAGGGAGCAGTCCCAGGCTCGAGATCTTTGCCTTCATTCTAAGCCAGGAGAAGATGCTTAGGAGAGGTCTGACGTGGTCAGATTTGTGTTTTGAAAAAGGTCACTCCGGCTGCAAAGTGGAGAATGGATAATATGGGAGCAGGAGTGGAATGAGAAGACAAAAATCATCTGCTCACCTCCCTAAAGCATAGGGTTTGCTGCCCATCATCAAATTTTGGGTGTCAGGAGGTTGAACATACTTATTTTTGTACTTACACAAAAATTAAACTCCACAGAGAGGGCGGGGAAAAGTCACTTAAAGGAAACACTTACATATTGCACTTCTGTCTAGATCACTGAAAAATCTCCTTCTTTAACCTTCTCTGTCCACCAGACCCTGCTTTTAGGGGGATTTTCAGAACAATTTCATAGTATACAAAGAGCGCTGGGCTAGGAGTTTGGAGACCTGAATTCCCATCTTGGCCTCTCCTCCAAGTCAATTTCCCTGGCTAGTTAGCTTTCTTACAATGGCTTTTGAAGATGAAATAAGATGATAGAGGAAAAAGAGCAAACAAACACAAGGGCTCAGAGCATGCTGTTCCTTTCATGAAGGACATTATTTAAGTAGCGTTTAATACATTTTAAATACAGTTTATATATGATTTGGTCAATAAATATTAAAGTATATATTGTTCTTCTGAAGCTCTCACATAAGGACAAGAGGATCTGGAGTTTGCTGTTTTATTTAACCTTGAAAGTTCACATTTAGCATCAGGAGGAAGAATGACATTGGTGAGGATGGACATGATGGAGTTCTCTTTTCTGTTTCTTCTTCTCAGCGAGTCCCCTGAAAGATGAGGACTCTCATCTTATTAGCAGGACCTGCTACTGTAAGTTACCTACCCTTTTCTTCCTGTGAAAGGTAAGCTGATACCTGGGGTTTTTGAGGGCAGAGCTCCTTTCAACTGTGAACACATTTATGTGTGAAGAGTCTTCTGCCTTGATTTTGTGGGTTAGGGAGTATGGTCATCCTAGGTCTCTAAAACCCTTCATACAGATGATAAAGCCAGTTCAAAGCAGTCCTGTGTCCAGGAGAGCAGAAGGAAGATATTCCTCCTCATCGGTTTCCTGTGCATTCATTCTCTGCCTTAGGGAGTTTTGAGTAACATTTTCACACTTACACAAGTGCAAAGGAGCTTCATTTCCACAAGATGACAGAGAGTCTACAAAGGCCATCATGGAACTAGCCTCTTACTCTCAGCTAGGAAAAATAAGTGCTTGACGAACATGCTATCTCAATCTATCTTTGTTCTAAGAATCAGCCCAGACAACACAGGCTTGAGAGGGAGAATTCACTTAATTAGATTTATTTTTTTTTTAAGATTTTATTTATTTATTTGACAGAGAGAGACACAGCAAGAGAGGGTACACAAGCAGGGGGAGTGGGAGAGGGAGAAGTAGGCTTCCCGCGGAGCAGGGAGCCTGATGCGGGGCTCGATCCCAGGACCCCAGGATCATGACCTGAGCCAAAGGCAGATGCTTAACGACTGAGCCACCCAGGCACCTCACTTAATTGGATTTAAAAAGAAACACTGCTTGAGTCCTTTATGGTTCTATCCCCATTCTTCAGCACCAGCTTCTTTCTGCCTCTCCTAGTGATAATTAAACATGAGAAGTTGGCTGTGTGATCTCAGGCAATAGCTTTTAAAGGGGGTCTGGATTTAAAGAAAGGCACCAGTCCTGTTGGGGCTTTTGAAAGAGAGCTAAGTGTCTCATGTCTGGCGCCTCCTCATGTCACCTGGGGTTGGTAGATGGCATTCGGAAGGAACAAATAGCCAACTGGTTGGCCAGTTCTGTTGGGATGCCTTTAATTTCAGCCTTCTTTCTGAATGGGCTACCATGTAATGCTTTTATTTTCTTAATTCTTTTATGTCGCTGGAGGGAAGTTATTCACAATGTACCAAGAATTATTTTAATCAGACTACCCTCATTATTAAGCCTCTACTTTACCTGCCCAGAAAAGGGCCACATGGGTCAAGGGGAGTAAGGGAGATTAGACTTCAATCCAGATCACCCCAGTGATGTCCAGTGTTGGTTGGAAGTTTGATTGGCTTTGCCTTCATTGTTCGGTAAATGCTCCTTTGCAGCTGGGACTGTTACAAAGGCCATTCCCAGAAAGAGGAGGACTGGTCTTTCAGTTAAGGCTGTGCCGCAAGCCATGGAATCTCCTTATTAGAAGTCCTTCTTCATGTGCTGAGATCAAATTCTATATAATGGCTACCCATTTAATACCCAGGCAGTGGGGATTTGGCAATAGAAAACGCACAGTCCATGCTCTGAAAATCTCTTAAAATTATCCTGTGCTACATACAGATCGATACTTTTTTTCACTTACAAAGCCCGTTGCCACACCTTCTCTCATTTAATTCTCAAACCATTAAGAAAGCCAAATAGGGGTTATTATTTTCATTTTCAAGATAAAGAAACAGAGAACTTTCGGGACTTGCTCAGTGTCGCACAGTTGGGATTGGAACCCAAGGCCTTCGTCTCTACAATGCCCAGTGTGCTCTCCACACCACCCAGATGTCATAAATGGGTTGGGCTTTCCCAAACTGGCCGTGAGTTTATCACGTATACCCTGCAGTCATGGCCGCAGGAACGCACCATGCTTATCAGCAAAGCTGACAGCACAAGACTGCATCTGCGTTTTTCTGGTGAGAACCCTTGGTAAAAATTGCTGCCGGTGGTGATATAATCCTATTCTATACATTAATTGCCTTTGGCTTTTTAAAAAAATTTATGGTGGCCTGTTGCACCACTTATACCTAAACCAGCAGCCAGACACGTCTTATTCCCCTCCCCCCTGACACGGTGACTGAGGCCATCGGAAGTGAAAGGGGAGGCCTGGGATCAAAGAGGCGAGAGATCATGAGGAACACAAAGCCTTCACCAGAGACTCCAAACCCAAATGTGAAGGCTGGCAGGTGAAGCCAGCAGGAGACACTCGCGTGGGGGCGGAGGGCGCTGGAGAATGTGTGCTCCTTCTCAAAGGGCATCTGGTGCCCAGCATCAGCTGACGGCTGTCATGCCTCAAATCAAGCCCAAGGTTGTCCGATCTTGAGGTGTTTTTCCAAGAGAATCTGGAAATCTAGACTCTGATGCAAATTCTTCTGGTTGGATTGTTAAATATTAATGGCCGATTCAAACAAACATTGTTAAGCCTAGGTAGGGTCAAAAACAAACAAATCAATCCTGTGATTCTCTTTTGCAACCTCTTCTCTTTATATCTGCAAGTAAATAATTTTTAGAAGAAATGCACCAGGACATAAAGATGTGGTTAGAAGTGTTTTTATTACCAGTGGTGTCCTGTATCTTTTCCACACTTGTGAGAAAGACAGGTTCCCGGAGCCAGGGTGTAAACAGAGCTTGGAAGTTACCACTTTTAGGCAAGATCTGTTTGAATACCCACTTTTCTACTTTTGAACAACAATTTTTGCCTTTCCCCATCTCTATCATCTGTTGGATGAGGCCCTCATGCAAAGGTTCCCCACGGCACCCACAGACAGCAGGCTGGGGCAGGGGTTATGTATAGACCCCTGCTCAGTAGCTAACACCACATCTTTCCTTCCCATCCAAGAAAGCATAGGGGGTTCTAAATAAGTGAGAATGCTGGGAGGGGCCTTCCACTGGCCTTAATTAATTTTTTAAAAAGTAAATTCATCACAGACAGTATCCTACCTATCATTGGTAATGAATGGTTCATGTGTGACACAGTTCACAAATTTCAGGACAACATGGTTAAGAGATGTTTCAAAAAATAAAAATAAGTAGGATATATCGCTAAGCTTCTCAGTAGATCAGCACTCTCTATCTCTGGTATTCTCAGCCAAGGCATGGTTGATTGGGTTGATGCCCCCAGCACATTCACCGTCATGGTATCTGTGACAAGGGCCTTGGAAATGTCACCAGAGACACTTGGACTCTTGAGGAAAGATAAAAGAGATAAAAGACCATGTTCTCCAAAGCATTCAGTGAGTCTGCACCCAAACATTCTCACCTCCCTAACTGGCAACAGGGAGTCCGCACTTGAACTACTATTTGGATAATGTGAAGTCAAGTCTTGCCCACCAGCATAAACCAAGAAATAAAGCACTTCTGTGCTGTTCGTTCATGTTCTTTGCTCCATGCATTGATGGAGAAGCTGAACACTAGAGCTTTCCCTGTTACCTGCTAATTTAGAACGATGTTTCCTTTCCACTGCATTAGAAAATGAAAATTCAAGAGGTGAAAATAGAAACCAGATTCAAGAAAGAGGAGCGAGACAAAGAGGTCCCTGGCAATCTGATACGGTACGCCTCTTGGGGGAAAGGTGTCTGGATCTCAAAGGCGGACTATCACAAAATGAGAGCAGAAGCAAGTCTATTTTTTGCCTAGGTCGCCACAGGGAACCAATCTAACCTATTTACAAGTGGTCTCAGGAGAACTCTCTTTAAATAGATATCTTGTCACCATCCTTTTCGTCATCTTCCATGATCACTTTGGGTCTCTCGTCCCTGAGCAGTGTCACACCTGCAAAACAAAGCAACGATCTGCAATTAAGTGCCTCTAATGAAAATATTAGACAACCTTACAGTGTAGACATGGCACACAGGAGCATGGCAACCCAGACACCTCTTAGCATCTGCAAAGCTAAGTGTTAAAGGTGCCGCTAGAGTCAGGACGCTGGGTGCCTTATTTGGCCTGCCCAGAGGAGCTGTGACTCAATGAGGCACCACGCTGGTGACCAGGAGACACTCGACCTGGGAGTCAGAGGCAATGTTGACCCCCTGGTCTATGGTCTGCATTTAAGTTAGCAGCACAGGAAGACAAAAAGCAAACAGGTTTTGGAATCCACTTGCTTTGGACCTCTCATTCTGCCACTCGCTCAGTCTGTGTTGGGCTAGTTAACACTTTCACACCTGAATTTTCTTGGATATAAAAGGCGTGCACTGATACTTATGTAAAGGGTTATTGTGCCAGTTGAACAAGAAACACAGGCTCACACCTGTGAGCCCCATGTCCGCTTCTCCTTTCACACGTGCTAATTCGGTTCCCTTTGAAAAGAATGGGTCAGCAGCATGAAGTCAAAGTTAAATACATTTTTCTAACATCTGGGGAAAAGACTGAGCTGAGGCTCTGAACATGCCATTTCTAAATGTCAGGACTGGTGGGTGATAAAGTTTACGTGGTTCAGAGCAAAAGGAGAAATTCAAGAAAGTGTAGTGAGTGCTCATTAAGTTCTGTGGGTACAATTTTAAAAAGTTGCTCTTTATTTTTATTTGATTTTCTTCTTTGGGAGGATGAAAATATCCTTTCTTTTTGGGAATTTTAGGAGCATCAGATGGTTGGTGTTTTAGCAGCCTTACTAGGCAAAATTCAAAACTATCCCTATGTTGGGTTCCAATATATTTTGTGTTTTAAAAGTTTACTGGCCGTTGAAATTCAGAAGACTGAGCACAGTTTTCTGGACTGATCAGCCCAGTTAAGACCATCCAAGGAGGGCTGGGTGGTTCTGCTCATCCTGTAAATTGTGAAGTAGGGTCATTTTAATAAAAAGACAAAGGAAGCTGTGATTCAAGGCGAGTCCTCCATGATTTTTGTCATCCACTCCAGCCAACCACCACTGCCTTGCATCTTCCCCACCTTCTCATAATTAGAGACCTTTCAGTTCATTAAGCATTTCATAAAGATCTAAACATGAGGGTAGAAAGCTGTGCACCACAAGAGGCCTTTCTACAACACTGGACTCCATTCAACAGCGGCAAATTAATGAAAACTATGTGTTGATCTTAATGACTATTCATTTGATTCAGTTCCTAGTTTGTTCATATGGGTTCTTTACCAATTAGCTGATATTTATTGGAGGAGAAAAACAATTTCTAGAGTCTGGTTGAAACTGAGGATTTTGCATAAATCACTTATGAAACACAGTGGGTGATATTTTCTCTTCTACCAGCTGCAAGGAGGTTTAGATTTTTATTTGGAATTAAGGCTATCATGGTAGAAGAACAAAGAGTTAACTATGCTAAGCCCCCAAACTTTCTGTCCTGATTTCCTTGATATCTTTTCACATTAAGCCAAATTTGAGTTGATTCAAAGTGGGCAAGAGTGTTTAAATTCCCAGATCCAAGTTAAATTTCTGATTACTTGGGGTATCCTTGAAACTAGTCAGATGAGCATCTGGGCCAAAAAAAAAAAAAAAAAAAAAGTCCTGGGATTTCAGGGAAGGGAGGAGCCTGTTTAGCCATCAAGGTCAGCCCTTTCCAAAGTAGGCTAGGCTTTCCACAGGGACATGGGAGGTAATTTCAAGAGAAAAGTGAACTAGCATTTGTATTAGTATAGTTAAGCATTATTTTTAGTGTCTTATAATGAAAAATACATATGGTAGCTCATGAAAATCTTGATTTCATGGCTGTCACTGTTTAGGGTGAAGCTGAAATCAGTAGCTTCTGTGTCATCAATACATTTTTATTCTTGATGCTTCAGATCTTCGACTTTGTTCCTTTGAAGATGAATGAGGTTTGATAAACACGGGTCTGTGGTTTAACCTAGTCTCGATCCTCTGTTCTCCTGTGGGAAGCAGAGGTGTGTCATTGAAGGAATGTACTCTAGAGCCCACAACCTTTGCCTTCTTTGGTGGTCATTTAAATTTGAGCAAGTCACTTAACCTGTCTGAGCCTTGGTGTATTCATCTAAGAAACTGGAGAAAAAATAAATCCTATCTCCTTCAAGGGGTGACGCTGCCAGGTAAATGTAGACCAACATTCTTTGATGCTTCAGGCACACTTTTACACGAACCTTCATTAAAGCACATTTCACGTTGTAGGAATCATTGGAAAATACATCTATCCCCTCCCCTCCACCACCGAAACTTGAGGGTCTTAAAGGATATTCTAGCATCTAGTACAGGGCTTGGGGTACAGTAGGGATTTAGAAAATGTCAGTTCCTACCCTCCTACTCTCTGTGGAGGAGAGTTTATGGAACTTGGCTGCTTGTTAGAACCTGGTATGTTTTTTTAAGGCCAAAGCTGTCAGTCCCAGGTCTCTAAGGGTCAACCAATTAGCCTTGTAACAAGCTATTTTAGGCCATGATCCTATTCAGAGCTGGTTACCTGCATGACAGATGTATGGGAGCTGGGGCTAAGATACCTCCTGTCCTGGCAAGCCACACCAGAGAGAACACTCTATTCCCAGCAGGACAGAAGAGGTGTCACGTTCAAAGGATGCAACAGTCCCATTTCTCCAAGTACATTATTGAGCTTTGATCTCCAAATATTCATAGCTCATGGGCCAATTTTCCAAGAGGCTTCTCTTCAATGCTCCCGGCCTCATGATTTTTACTTTCTCTGGTTCCCATTGCCACAGATCTTCACTAAAGACTTCTTTTTCTTTTAAGCAGGTCTTGGCTACTCAGATCTTACTAATCACAACCCAGTGCACCCTGCCACGTAGTCACCAAGATGGGTGGCCCTGGCAAATGTGGGCCAAGTTGGGAGCAAACCTTGGGTTGGCAAGGAAACCGGAGATGATTCCTCACTGAGGAGTTGCCTGGCAGTTGGAACCTGTCAGATAAGCTCATTAACCTAGGGGAATGAAGGTAGTTAGCAAGAGATTTAGAAGAGAGAGATAATCCTTGTCCAGTCTTCAGTTGCCAAGGGCTAATGAGAGGAGATGTCTCCAGAGTGCATTTGTCTGTGAGTTCCTCTCAACACCCTTATTAGAACCAATATGAGTCTCTCTGAACATCTGCCAAAGGCTCTATCCTTATCAGCTTAACTAGCATTCCGACTACTGCCAAATCTTTAGATACTAAAAGGCTCTTCAAAAATAAAGTGCTTCAGCTAATATGCTAATAAAAGCTAGAATCATAGAACACCATCTATAATTGCAAATGCAACACAGAGATTTGCTGATTCAAGGAATTCCATAATATGTATAGAGTCCATGGATATACAGCCTCCCTCTCCAGCTCTGTGTATTTCTCCCTGTTTGAGAAACATTTTTTTTTTATTCAACTAGGAACCTGCTCTCCTAAGATGTGGATATTGGGATGCAGGCAGCAACCATTGCCAGAGAAACAGGTTTCAACATTTTAGGAAGTCCCTTGAATCAGTAGGTTTATATGGAAAGGTAAAACACTGAGGCTAGGAAAATTCTCACCTTGAGAAACGGTTTGAGTAATCTCAAAGAATATCAGGTTGAAGGGAATGGAGAGGAACTGACATTTATTGAGGACTTTCAAAACACCAGGATCTGTGCTAAGTGCTTTATGTGCTTTATTTAATTATGTTAACAATCCTGGGAGACAGATTTTATGGTCCTGCTTTCAGAGATGGATGGAATGAAGGAGGCTCTTTTGTTTGTGCTAGATGCCCAGGGTCACAAAGCTAGAATGATCAGAACCAGATATCAAACTTAGACCTTTCTGACTGCAAAGCCCATGTTCAGTGCTGTGTGCTAAGGTGACTCTCTGCCCATAAATATTTTTGTTCTTCTACCAAGTCTTTCCCTAAGAGAACTTCAATAAAAAACAAATATAAGAATGGGTAAAAAATAAAGTCTCCTAATGGAGAATTTGGAATTGCAGAATTGTGATTTCCAAATAGAATATCAAATCAAGAGATACTTACTGAGTATTGCTATATAAAAGGGACTGGACTAGATATCAAGGTCAATACCAGCACAGTTCTCATGAATTCATCAACTGTAAGTCAATGTTAAGAACAGCTACAATAATGGCAGCAAGAGCCATAAAGACCATACTGAAAGAGATGACAAAGTCTTGGTATTTGCATGCCCGTGTCTACTACAGAGTTAGTTCAGAATAGAAAAGATTCATTTTGGACTTGGAGGAGTCTGTTAGCAGAGACTCTGAGCTAGCTGAGTCTTCAAAGGTGACTGGAACCAGGACAGAGGCAGAAGTGCAGGAAACGTATGATGGGTTGGAGGATCAGTGCAGGTAGGAATGCATGCAGCTTATGAGAAGCATGTTTGAGGCAGTTCAGATCCAGCCAGTTGGTCTTCAGTCCATTTCTCCAGAGAAGTGCCTCCTCAGGCTCTATGCCTCCTTGCCTGGCTCTGCTCCACAGAAATCAGTAACCTTGTCTGTACCCCTGACTGCCTATTCATGATGTCTTCTTCTGAGCCTTCTTTCAATTTTTTTCTTTATTAAATAAAATAATGGGGAAACATAGTTCTATAACAACAAGATCCCATCTCCCAAAGTGCCCCTTCTGGATTGCCGTAGTGCCAAAACAGCGAAAAATTGCCCACAGGTGAGACAGACCTGGCCTAGAGCCCCAGCTCTGCCACATCACTGTGTTTGATCCTGAACATAATTTGGTCCATTTATCTGTCCACCTAATCATCCCATCATCAATCCAACCAATCAGCCAAGCAGCTATCCATCCATCAATGCCATCCACAGAAGACTTTAAGTTACTGAAATTCTCTTTCAGTTTCTTTACCTATAAAGGGAGTTAACAGCTACCTTTCTTGTGTTATTCAGCTGATTTTAAAAAATCCATGGGACATACCAAACTCAGTACCTAATATTTAGTAGGGTCTCAAGAAACAATAGTACATTTTCTTCTCTGCCACCACCCTCCAAATATCTCTAACACACACACACACACACACACACACACACAGAGACACACACTCAGTCTTATAATCTAATCATGAGTATATATGTCTTATTCCCTAACCTCCACATAAAATTCTCAGGGACAAGGCTATATTTCACTATTTTGGCTACTGCATAGTCTGGGCTGTGCACAGAGTTCAGCAAGATTTTTGAGTTTGGTTTGACACATATTAAGATAGCTCTCATGAAGATGATACTTTCAGGATTAAAAAAAAAGAAATCTTGCCATTTGCAATGACGTGGATGGAACTAGAGGGTATTATGCTAAGTGAAATAAGTCAATCAGAGAATGACAATCATCATATGATCACACTCATATGTGGAATTTAAGAAACAAAACAGAGCATCATAGGGGAAGAGAAGGAAAAATAAAACAAGACAAAATCAGAGAGGGAGATAAACCATAAGAGACTCTTAATCATAGAAAGCAAACTGAGGGTTGCTGGAGGGGCGGGGGGTGGGGTAACTGGGTGAGGGACACTAAGGAAGGCACATGATGTAATGAGCACTGGGTGTTGTGTAAGACTGCTGAATCATTGAACTCTACCTCTGAAACTAATAATACATTGTATGTTAATTAATTGAATTTAAATTAAAAAATAAAATAAATTAACATTTTTATTATGGGAGTTTTCATATTTTCATATATATATATAGAAAACCATATAATTAATACTTATTAACATTTTGTCATTTGTTTTATCTAATTGTCTTTATTTTTGAGTATTGTAAAGCAAATTCCCTGTAACGCTTCTGTATGTATCTCTAACACTAAAAGCTTTTTAAAACCATAACTAAAATGCCATTATCATACCTGACAAAATTAACAATAAATACTCAATTTCATCTAAGAAAAAAGATGATACTTTCAGGGATCGTTTCTATAATTTGTTACTAAAGATAGCTCTCGCTATTTCTACATCTCTCTTTCTCTCCTTCTCTCTCTCTCTCTCTCTCGTTGAAGATTTGGTCAATACAGCCAGCCAGATGTCTTGGGAGAATCAGCCATCAGTCGTAGGATGCATGATCCATGGAAGGCTGGGGAGGAGGATATGTCAACTCTTTTCAAGGACCCACTGACATTTCTATTTCATTGGCTCAGTGGATCTGACCAGTTCTGCTGAAGCACGAGGAATGCCCTGAACCTCCCCCAGCTCCCAGTCAGCCCTGGGGGAGCTGCCAGGGAAGGTAAGCCTGAAAGGCAGCAGTAAATGCTGCTCCCCCCACAGAGCGCTTCTGTGTGACACAGCTTGCTGGGCCAGGACAGAGGCCTTGCCCGTGGCACCTCCAGATGGTAAGGTTCTTGACCTGGTCCCATCACCCCCTGCAAATGCCTTGCACCAGCCTTTTTACCTGCTGCAAAGGGGGACACGTGCAGGGCAGGTGTGTCTTTTCTCCTTGGTTTTTTCTGTTCCAGGTCAGTGTTATGAAGAGCTGGACTCATTTTGCCCTTTGGGTGTCTCTCTTGAATGTCGTATCTTTTAAGTAGTTGTTCTGAAAGGACACCTGCGTGGTTAGGGAAACAGAGGGAGAAACAGAGTCATATACATATATCCTGATACATAAGGACAATGCATGCATATTTGCACATATCCCTAGTGATGGTAGTCAGTATAGCTTTTCAAACTTATTTTAATAAAAGCTTTTTCTGTATTAGGAATTAGTATCTGTTGAGGTGACACAAAGGGTTTTGCATGCCTGATTTTATTTTAGCCTCACAAAACCCTGAGGAACTTAATATTACTGTCACTATCACCTATCTGAGGAAGGCGAGGCATGGAAAACATGGCCACAGTAACACAGCTCGTAGGGGTCCGAGCCAGGAAGCGAGCCCAGGTCTGTCCGCATGCGGGGTCCATCCTCCTTAGAGCAGTGGATCATTTGCTGCTCTGCAAGCCACATGCTCTGCTCTTCAGGGACTTACCTGCCTTCTTACCTCTCCCACACGTGACATTTCTCTCCATCATTTACAAACTCTCTGACAGCAGCCTCCTCTACACAACTTTCCACAATTCCCTGCCCAGGCTGAGCTCTCGGGGTCCTTATGGAAGGACTTCATTATGGCCTTACCACTTACTGCATATTTCAGCCATTTATGCACTTCCATTATTTCCTATAAAACTGACAGTTCCTTCTCAGGAAGCTCTGTGTTCTATTTGTTTTGTCTCCCTCCAAGTGGGTTGTGAGTGGCGAGGACACGAAATCAATGGCCCGGAGGGAAGGAGAAAAGGAAGTAAGAACAAACAAAACTTTGGGGAAGCAAGAGAGTCACACATCACACATGAGGTTGTTATGGAGACACGGTAGCTGTTCCCCAAACCATTTTGCTTTTCTCCTGGGCACACACACCCCTGGGCGGCATCTCTCTGCCTCCCTTGCAGTCAGGTGAGGTTTGTGACTGAAGGACGTGATGTGGGCCACTTTTGGGTCTGCCAGTCTTCCAGTCTATTCTGCTCCACCCCCCCCACCCCTTGTTACCCCTCATCCACATGCCTGCTGGATGCTAATGCTCATGGTGACTTTGAAAGCCACGTGCTGGTGATGTCCGAACCTCCATCAGCTGGAGTCCCTGAATTACCGTTTGGAGCAGAACCTGCCTCCCCAACTCGCACTACTGATGAGTGAAAAAAACCTTGCGTTGTGCCACTAAACATTTTGGAATTTATTTGATATAGCAGCTGGCCATACTGTAATGAAGACAGGTGCAGGGAGAGTACCAGTGATTTAAAAACACCCAAATATGTGAGGAAAAAGTTGTAAGACCAATGCGATCTAGTGGTAGAGGCCCCCCTTCACAGACGGGCAAACTGACCCCATTGTCCATTACCTGGTATAAAAGGTGGGATGTGCAGTGCTGGTGTATCTTTTCTCCTTGGCTTTTTTTGGTCTGACTCAACATTCAGGGCAACCTGTGTATTTTTTCCCTTTCTTGGCTTCTTTTTGAGATCACAGTCTTTAATGAACTGGTCTGAAAGGTCATCTGATGTTGACAGGATGCAAAGAAAAAAAAGAATATAACATGAGTAAGGGTCACTCACAAACTGGTTGGTTTCCAAGTACTTGCAGAAGCCATTTGGTCTGAAAAGGAAAAGGATTTATATATTTTGGCCTAGCGTACAGAAGACTTTCGTAGCCTTGCACAAATACATAGAATAAAACAGAAAGCTGGGATAGTCTATAAAACTCCAAATGAAGAGAGCTCCAATGGCCAGATAATCAAAGCAAAGAAGAACTTTAAAATATAGTTAGGCAAGCCACAGAGTGGGTTTGAGTTGAATTTCTGATAGAATAGGTTTTCTTTGCTAACTGCTCTTTCTCAATTTTTGCTCAAGGCTTGCTCTCTTGAAGACTCTAGCCTTGTAATAAGGTTCTCCACAAATTCCTCACCTGCCTTCATTTCTGTGGCCAGCCAGATCGCGCTGACCATTCACACTTGCCTTCAGCATTGGCCTCTTCATCCACTTCCCCACTGGCAATCCAATTCTCCCATTTGCCCAGCCTCACTCCAGGTCCTCTTGTCTTCTTACTCAGCTCTTTACCTTCCTCAGTCCCCCGAGCTCATGAAGCTTGGATTCTACATCGTGTCCATCAGATGTCAGTGTGTGTGATGAGTCCAATCTGATCACTCCTTTCCCATGAAAGTATGTTCTCTGCTCCATCTGACTCCTCAATGCTTTGGCTGATGGTGTGCTTCTTTGAGCGTCTCTGTCATTGTTCTAGACAATGACATTTGTTTATTCTATCAGGGTTTATCTCCTGCTCTTGACAGAGCCTTCTTGGAGATTAAGGATTATATCCTTTTGATAATTTTATTCTTAATTGCCTCTCCCTCCTGTAAATGCATTTTGAATGGATAAGTGGAGTGGACTGATCCAAGTTCAGTTGCTGACTCTGTCACTTGTTAGTTCTGAGAACTTGGGCCTTAATTTCTAGGAACTTTAATATTGTCTCAACTTTTAAAGTGGGGATAATTTTAAATCAGTGTGTGTGTGTGTGTGTGTGTGTGTGTGTGTATGACAGAGACAGAGAGAGAGGGCTACATTTGCTAATGTTGGTAAAGAAGTTGTTACATTTGATATATTTTAGATCTTCAAAAGAATGTTCACTCTGGTCATTGCTCAACCCCTAACCTTCCACAAAGTCCAAAGGAAAGCCCACCTTCCTGTCCTGTCTCCATAAGTCTTTCCCAGTCCTGGGTGTCCTTTCTCATTTTCTGGATATCCACAGGATTTTTGCTCGTGTAACACATTTTCTGCATATGTCTTCTCTGCCCCCTTTGATGACAGGTATCTTGTGTTTTTATCCCCTTACAGCAATTAATAAATATTTGTTGAATGTATGCTTGAATGAATGAACTCAAGCATGTTATGTATAAGGAGAGAGTCTATTAGGGTTCAAAGAAGCCACAGACAATGAAGCTGTCTGTCTTCTCTGGAAACTCTCTATGGCCTGGTTACAGTCTTATACATCTACAACTGTGAATGTATTTGGGGAAATTCAGAGATTAATTGGAAATGTTCGGCCCCTTCTTCTTTTCCTTCCTCCCTTCTTTCTTTTTTCCTCTGTTCCTTTTTTTTTTTTTAAAGATTTATTTATTTATTTTTAAAGATTTTATTTATTTATTTGACAGAGAGGGAGAGCACAAGCAGGGGGAACAGCAGGAGAGGGAGAGGGAGAAGAAGGCTCCCCGAAGAGCAGGGAGCCCGACTCAAGGCTGGATCCCAGGACCCTGGGATCCCCGAAGGCAGACGCTTAACCAGCTGAGCAACCCAGGTGCCCCTCTCTCTGTTTCTTTTTATGTAAATATTCAGGTCAGTGTCTTTAAAATGTGGAGGATTAAATGTGTCAAACTTGTTCCCTTCAGTTTCGTGGGTCTAGACATAACCTGTGTCATTCATAATGTATTTATTCGACAAACACTGATGAAGCTCCTCCTCTATGCCAGGCCTTGGGCAAGATTCTAGGACTAAAAAGACAAATAAGAAATAGTCCTTCCTTTCAAGTTGCTACTGTCTATTGGGCTTTATGTCTGGATGGTCTTTTGTTTTAGAAAACACAATATACATGAGAAAACTACCATTAGAAATAACTAGTGGGGCGCCTGGGTGGCTCAGTCATTAAGCGTCTGCCTTCGGCTCGGGTCATGATCCCGGAGTCCTGGGATCGAGCCCCGCATCGGGCTCCCTGCTCTGCGGGAAGCCTGCTTCTCCCTCTCCCACTCGCCCTGCTTGCGTTCCCTCTCTTGCTGTGTCTCTCTCTGTCAAATAAATAAAACCTTAGAAAAAAAAAAAGAAAGAAAGAAATAGCTAGTAACCACACATTATTATGCCTGCATCATCCAAAGATCACAGTACATAACCAAAAATCAAATAGCATCATTCCCTTCAGCCATATTTAATAGTAATAAATATTTCCTTTCACCTACAGGATTTGAATAATTCCATCCAATCATTTCAATTTAATAAACATTTATTGAGATCATACTGCATGTAAGGCACTGAACCATATGCTTTTAAGTTTACATATATAAAAAAACAGAGGTGAGAGGGAACTTTATTGAATACTTTTATATACCAGCTGATTTCACATCCTTCTAGTGTATGGGAATGACCAACACCTTCTCTGATTCATCAATGCCTGTGTTTTACCAGTTGTTAAATATTCATAGCATATCCTAAACACACGATCTCATTTAGTTCTCACACTAAGCCCACAAGGAAGGTGTACAATTATCCCCAATTTGCCGATGAGGAAACTGAGATTTAGAAGGCCAGATGAAAGGCTAAAGGTCACATTCCTGGCAGATTATGGCATCAGGAGCAAGTTCAGGCTCTTGGGACCATGTTTCTTTTTTTCTTCTTTTTTTATTTAAAAAAATTACTTAAATTCAATTTCATATTATTCGTTTCAGGGGCAGAATTTAGTGATTCATCAGTTGCATACAACACCCAGTGCTCATTCCATCAAGGGCCCTCCTTAATGCCCATCACCCCATTATCCCATCCCCCCACCCCCTCCCCTATGTTTCTTAATGCCTAGCTGAAAATGCAATTTTAAAAATTTATTGCCACATAGCACAATTTCTCCCCATATCATACATACCATAGACATTTGTTGAATGAATAAATATTGCTCAGAATGAGTTCTGCCCAGCTGTGGGGGTCTCTGGAAGGACAGGCTGGATATGGACCAGTCATGGGTCACCATTCCAGCCCAGGATGAGACTCAGTGCACAGTACGGCAAGGCATTTGCTTCAGTTTTGACTTTCACTTCAATTGCACTTTTTCCCACTTTTGGAGAAATCCTGAACATAAACTATCTTGATGGCAAATGGGGAGAGAGGAGAGTCATAACCAGGCGAGATATAAACAAAAGCTATGAATATGCAAAAGGCCCATCCATCAAACGTCTGAGTGTCTCATTTTTAGAAATGGGTAGAGGCAGAAATGTTTCTGGTATTTTCATTACAAAGGTTATGCAAAAAGTCAGTTCTGGAAAGGAAACAGATTGACAATAAAGCAGAAAAAGGCTATTTAAAATTCTGTCTTGATAGGCAAAGAGAGATATTTGAAATATTTTATTGGCACTGCACATGGGGTGTAAGTGTGCTGGCAAATACTAGAAACAAGCTCTGTTGCCACATTCCACTTATTGCCTCAAAAATGCTCTGCCTGGGACTCGGTCAGACCCGAAAAAGAGGACAGTGCCTCTTCTCTCTTTTTGTAACTCTAATGAACCTCTCTCCGTGCCTCCGCTAATGTTTACACGGCAGACCCCACAGAGTCATGGCTATTTGCCTGTCCATCTGGTGTTGGCTGTCACCAGAAGGTACACACGATCGGGTTTCAGGGGGCCTCCCTTTGACTTGCAGAGAATGGCAGAGACCCTTCCTTTCTGACTTCCACTACTGACATTCACGCTGGGGCTTTTACCTAAGTGGTCACAACGAGGGTCTAGCTTGTCCAGTCTGTCTTCTGGGAGCTCCAATGGCTGCATTTGTTCAGTGGACATCATCGAAGGAGGTGTTTCTTGGGCAGCACTAGGGAAGCATAAGAAACAAGGCCATTAGTGTGTCCTCTGTTCATTTGTTCACTTATGAAATGAGTATATTCACTTACTATTACATTCTCAGTTTAATCCTATTTTTCAAATCTGCTTCTTTTATTACCTACTAGAAGCTCTAACTTAAGATTTAAGTCAAAATAAATGAAACACACACACACACACACACACGGATTTATTGATAATTGCCGTGCATCAAATGTTCAATATTTATCTTCTTTCAGAAGCACTGTGGGAGTTTCAGAACAAATACTTATCAATTCTGAATTAGAAATGAGTTAGCTGAGAATTACAGAAACTCTTGATTAAATCTTGTCTGTATTTTCTGTTGAGGCCTGCAAAATAGGATTATGCCTACTTTGCAGATGAAGAAGCCAAGGATCAGAAAATACAATTAATTCATTTAGTCACACAATTATTAAATAGCCAAGATCCAAATTTTTAAACAGCCTGGATCTAAATCCAGTTCTGAAGACTTCCAGTAGACACCTAAGACTCTCAGTGATTCCTTTGAACGCAAATTGAACCAAGCCTCTGGTTTTCTATCATTACATGCTATATTTTATATGCATGTACACATTACATATATATAGCATGTATATATATATGCATTACATACATATAGCATGAAGTATATAATATAAAATAACTATAAAGTAATGAGATTTGTAGGAAAAAAATCTAGCTCTTGAAATGGATCCTTATTATTTTCTCCCTAGAGATTTCCGACACTAGAGCAAGTCTGCTCCCTCTTCCACCCATTTTTCCTAAACCACAAATCCATTGAACTTTCCAGAGCTATTAGCTGTAGCCATTGTCCAGGAGGAGTGGAAATCCAGAATGGACATGTGACAGGTCTGAATGAGAAATGCATTAGTTGAGACTTACAGAATCTGATTCTGTTTCTTCCTGATAATTTATTACTCATGTCCCATCATAGTAAGAATGTTTAGAGAGGAATAAGATTAAAATGACCCAAACCGATCCTCTTTTCTTGAGATTCCTGGTTCACTGGCATGCAGATGAACACAGGGACTAGTGGTGTTAACATTTCAGGTTCATAGAATGAGTTCCACTCAGTCGTCTTCTGAGGAATAAGCCAGTTTTTCTCCAGGAAGGCTGGAGGGCTTCTCCCCTCCGCTCCTCGCCGCCCCCCCCCCCCCCCCCGCCACGAGCTGAGATCACTGCATAGCAGATGGAGCTGTTCACGGATTACTTGACCCTGGCTTTTAGTGTCACTCTGAGCAGACTGATTGTACTGAGTGACTTTAGTAGAAATCAATTCCGACCATTGTTTTAGTGTTTGTATAGAGACTGCCAGCTCCCTGGGACCATATGATGCTCACTTGGGTGGCTAGCCCCCACCTGCTTGAGCAGAGAAGGGGGTTATGGACCATCAGTCGGGATGAGTGGGCTCAGTGCTGAGGCCTAGAGGTGAAGTGACAACCTCAAATACGGCCTGTGCACCTACTTAACGAATCTTCCTCCTCTTTGGGCAGAAAATCGTGGGCTCTGTCCTTGACTCTATGCTGGAAATCACCCCATGGAGGACCTAGTCAAGAAATATTCATTCTCCGGAAGGACAGCTGAGGCCCAAAGACATTGAGGTCACCTAGTATCAGTAGCCCACTCAGAGTCAGAGTGATCACTCGAACCCAGGCCTCCTGCCTTCTACTCTAGGTCCCCTCTGGCAATGGTCCCCCTCTCCCTTTCTCCACCCACAGTCAGCTCTTCTTTGTACTTGGATCACATGGCCGCTCCTGTGTGCTCAATAGCGGGTTATTTAATTTGAATCTGAGTTTTCGAGTTCCAGGGGATCTAGGTAAAATCTCAGCTCTCTACTGAAAAAGCTGCATGACTTTGATGAAGTAGCTAAATCTTCGTGATGTAGTGAGGGTAAATGGAGCCCAAGTACGATATAATCATGTTTGCCCTTTCTTCTACAAGTGACAGCTGCTATGCTAGAATGAGCAAAGCCTAGCATCCTTGTGGTGTGCCCGTCGATAGGCACCCAGAGACATAGGTTCCTCTCTGTTCCCCTATCCCCTTCCTAGCCTCCCTTTTCCTACCTGTAAAATAGAGATAACAGCATCTACCTCACAGAGCTACTATAAGGGTTAACTAGAACACCTCCCGGCTTTGCACATTGCGGGTACTCCATCCATGGCAGCCATTGCTCTGTAGCTGATGAAGACCAGTCACCTTCTCTTCTGAGAACAGGAACTGGGAGATCAGGGGACTGGGAAGGAACTCCACCAGACTGCAGAAGGACAGACAAGCCGGAGCAGGGGCTGCAGCTGAGGACAGGGTGGGAGGGGGAGCCAGCCTCCATCAGCACAGAGCCAGCTCCTAGTTTAGGGCAGGAATATCAGTTCCTCAGCTAAAAAACATTGGTCAGTTCAGTCTGAGGTCAGAAGTAGGTTTGGGAATTTTGTCCTTTCTCTAAATACCGAGTAAGTTCCTTAGTTGGATGTTAGAATATGAAGTTTAACTCAAGGCCACTGACTGCAAGCATTTGGTGCAATATGGGGTAGAAGCAAATGTTTGGTTACTTGTACGACTCTCTAGCTGGGTGAACTTGGGAAAGTGGTATGCCCTCCTGAAAACTTAGTTTCCACATCTGTAAAATGGGCTGATAGTGGCTCTTCTCCAGGATTGACAGTATTCACAATACAGCGTGTGTAGAGTTTCCAGCCCAGATCCCAGCACATGCTGACACTTTAAGAAGTGTAGGTTGCTTTGTTTGTTCTTCGCCATCCTCCCCTTGTGATTATGGCATGCATATCTTCACTGAACCATTGGAGCCATCTCCTGGCCCCATCCCTGGCCTTCTCCAAAGCTAATAATGAGATTAGAGCGATCCAAGGTAAAAACCAATGGCAGGGCCCCCCCTTTCCAAGTCTGGGGAACATGGTACTACTGATTCTTAGGAGCGAACTGAAACGTGGCTTAGTCGTAATGAAATTCTAAAAAATTCTAAAGAATTTCCCCAAAGTAATCAGCTCTGGATTTACCTGATGGAATAAAAAGTTAGGTTATGTCTACAGCCCAGTGTGGTATCTGATTATGTACAATTCATATCCTTTGTCAAAGCTCTTTTTAACTAGAGGATTTAATTCAGGTCAAAAAGTACTACGTTTTAAAATCAGATTTGTTCATTAAAAGACTAAATTTGCAGTATTCCTCCTAGGAGTGACTCTTCCTTGAAGTAGGGCACAGAAAGGGTTTTTTGGTAAGCACACTCGCCCCAGCCTCCTACACTGTGAGAATATGCAGATACACCAATATTCCTCTCTGGAACTTAGCAATTTAATTTGCAAGAATTCTGACTCTCACAGAATTCAAGACTCTACCTCCCTTAGAAAAAATGTCTTGAAGGTGATGCCTTTTCCTGCTCCCCACCTAGCCCCAGTTTAGCCTTGCTCCAGAAAGCACACCCCTGCACCCCTGCTCCCTCCACGGCCCCCCTCCCCGCCCTTGCTCCACCAGCTGCAGCCCTCTTTGTCCCAGCAACCATAAGGAAGCTGTAACTTATTGGAAATTTGCTTTTCTTGCCAGGAAAGTTCTTGGAGTAAAAATTGGAAACACTTACCAATGAGTGCAGGCGCTGGGATGAGGCGAGAGATGGGGAGGGCAAGCCTCCTCCCTGAAGCTGGGCCGGCTCTTCTGCTGCAGCCGCTGCTTGCTGCCCGGCTCCAGTTCCTCTTATCTAGGGACCAGCTGCCGCTGTTGCCATGGGGATGCTCCATTTCACAGGCGCCAGGGCAAGGGGGATGGAGAGGGAAAGAGGACTAATCTCACTGTCTCTGCTACCAACTGCAATAATTGTCCATTTCAAAAACACAATACGGAGTTGTGCTTTGAGTACCTAGTGTGCAAGGCTGGAGAGATCTAGACAAGCCAGCTAGAACCACCCTACGCAGTAGGGTTTTTTGTTTTTTTTTTTGTTTGTTTGTTTTTTGGCCCGACTTTGCAAATATGGAAGCTGAGGCACAGTCATATTAAGTGACTTGCCCAAAAGGTGACTCAGCTAATTTTAACCCTCAGATCTACTTGAGTGTAAATTCAAAGTACTTTCACTCACCAACCGGGCCCCTTAGAGTAGTATCAGGGTGAGAAGAATAATAGCAATCGCTGACATTTACAGAAGGCTTCCCGAAGGCTAGGCACTCTTCTTTACACGTCCGGACTCATTTCATCTTCATAACAGCCTTGCCAGAGAAGTGGCTGTCCGCATCCCCCTTTCACTGATGGGGCGCTGAGTTGATAAATCATCTGCACAAGACCTCTCTGCTAGTAAATGGTAAGGCTAGAGTTTGCATTGGGCAATGGGATGTAGAGTCCTTGCTCTTAACCTGTTTGCAGCACTGCTTGCCAAAGAGAGCATTTCAGAAAGAACAGCGCATAGTGAAGAAAGCAGCCCTCACCATCTGGGGTGGGTATGGAGGCCAGGGAAAATTTGCTCCTTCAAAGGAACCAAAGCAAATGTTCTAATATGCGGAATTCATATGCAGTCCGGGAAAGGGCAGGGGGAGCAAAGGGTGCTGAAGCGAGGCTGGCAGTGTGATGTGCTGTCATATGGAGAGGGAGGTTCTGTGTTTGGGGCAAGCTCACTGGAGGAAATGTCCTGTGCCGAGCAGAGGAGTTCGTAGTCTGTGGTCTGGGCATGAAGAGCAGGGAGGTTAGTCTAGGGGATGAGGTGGGGATCAGCGGGAGGGGCTTGAGACCCCTGAGGGCAGCCAAGAGACCACCCACCAATGATGCCCAAGAGGTGCGTTCTCATAGATGAGGTACAGTACAAACCACACATGTGGTTTCCTTTCTTTCCAGAGGCTGCATGCAGCGCGGTTCTCAAAGGCCACTCGCTGGCTTCAACCACCTGCTGGTCACCAGTATGGAGTGGCTGATTCCCCCTTTGCATTTGCCAGCATCCCAAATAATAGGGCTGGAACCATATGAAACTCATCCTGAGGTTGACTCCTAGGGTGAGAATTTATGCAGAGGCCACGGTCACAAATCTGCCAGAACAGGCTTCCTTGTTGGATTCGTTTGTCTTGGTTCTTGTTGGAATCTCCTGGAAAGGGATGGAGGCTGCCAAAAGGTAATGCTCCTGGCTAGGAAGGGGGACTCTGGATGCTAAATGAAAGTCCCTAGAAGCAGTTCTCTATTCCCAACCGCCTGCTTTATCTTCTTATCAACAGCCTTTTTGGCCAGTGTGGTTAGCAGCATCTTCATTTCCAAACTTGAGTGGAAAAAATACACTTTTCCTAAACTCTTCACTTCTTTTTTTAAATTAAACATTTTTTGAGATAATTTAGATTCACATGCAGTTGTAAGAAATAATACAGAGAAGTCTCCTGTACCTTTTAAGCAATTTCTTCCAATGATGTTATCTTGCAAAACTATTGGACAGTATCTCAACGGTATTTTGGTATTGATACACTCAAGATACAGGATCATCCCATCACCACAAGAATCCCTCATGCTGCTCTTACATAGTCACACCCACCTGCCTCCCCTTCCCTTCCTCGTTCTCCCTGCTCCCACCCACTCCTTAACTCCCTCAACCACTAATCTATTCTCCATTTCTATACTGTTGTTATTTCCAAAATGTTATATACATGGAATCATACAGTATGAAATTTTTTGAATTTGGCTATTTTTCTGCACTCAGCTTTATTCCTGGCTATTCATCCAAGTTGTTTCATGCATCAGTAATTTGTTCCTTTTTAATCGCTGCCTAGTATTCCATGGTATGTGCCAACACATGACAATTTACCTGTTGTAGGACATCTGAATTGTTCCTAGTGTTTGGCTATTACAAATAAAGCTGTTATAAAAATTCATGTATAGGCTTTTGTATGAACATAAGTATTCATTTCTCTGGGATAAATGCCCAGGAGTGCAATTGCTGGCTTGTGTGGCAGTTGCATGTTTAATTTTACAAGGAACTGCCAAACTGTTTTCCAAAGTGGCTCCACCATTTTACATTTCTGCCAGCCATTTATGAGAGATCCAGTTTCTCTGCCAGCATTCAGTGTTGTTACAATTGTTTAAAGTCATTCTCATAGGTATAGGTGTAGTGGTATCTCATTGTGGTTTTAATTTGCATTCCCCTGTAGACTAGTGATGTAAAACCTCTTTTCATGGGCTTATTTGCCATCTGCATGTTTCTTCGGTGAAATATCTCTTCATGTCTTTTGCCCATTTTTTAATTGGATTGTTTTTTTTTTTTTTACTGTTGAGCTTTAAAAATTCCTTATGTATTCTAGATACTGGCCCTTTATAAGAAATACAGTTTGCAAATGTTTTCTCCCAGTTTATGGGCTGTCTTTTCAAACTCCTAACAGAGTCTTTCATAGAGAAAATTTTTATTATTTTTTTTTTAAAGATTTTTATTTATTTATTGAGAGAGAGAGAATGATAGAGAGAGAGCATGAGAGGGAGGAGTGTCAGAGGGAGAAGCAGACTCCCTGCTGAGCAGGGAACCTGATGCGGGACTTGATCCTGGGACTCCAGGATCATGACCTGAGCCGAAGGCAGTCGCTTAACCAACTGAGCCACCCAGGCGCCCCTAGAGAAAAGTTTTAAATTTATATCAAGTCTCATTTACCAATACATTTACCAATAAATTTTAGAACATATATAGTTGAGAATATTTCTGAAGCTCTTCAGAGAAGCTGAACTGTGTTAGGAATTTTAAAACACTCTTTTGTCACATAATTTCCCCAAATCAAAGGGAATATTTCAAAGAGAGAAGAGAGTATGAATTCTTTATTTCCTCTTTGGATAGACATGTGTACTTATCCCAAGTTCAGGTTGTAGTTGCAGTGTTTTTTTTTTTCCCCCCAGGGCTTTCTACGCACACTTTAATTGATTATGCCCACCACCCTCCTTTTAAAGCAGATGTAAACAGCAACTGAGATGGCAGATGGTAATGTAAATCTATACCTCAGAGAGCTCTAAATAACAGCCACATATGTGCAGTGTTGAAGTCATGGACCCTTGGCCTACTGTGCTCCCAGTGTAAGTGCAAGGGGCCATTGTGTCCATGACATGATTTGTAGGTCCAAGAGCCCTCTGATGTGTGGCTCAATTGGCTTCTGGCTTCATTCCTGATGGATGCCTAATGGTAACTAGCTTTAAATGAATATATTTTCATTTTAATCACAAATATTCAATCTTTACGAATGAGAATGATCACAGTGATGAATATTTCCAGACAATTTATTTTAGTCAATAGCCTATCAAGTGTGCACTTGAAATATTTGCCTCCCAAAATCAATCTAAGGCAGTTTCTCTGTTGAGGGGTGATGGGGCTCCCTCAATCAAGGAGGAGAGAGAGAGCATGAAAGCAACCTCACTGAAAATTTGCATGCTGGTTTTATCCCGGACATCTTGCTGGATCTCTTTGGTTGTCTCTTTCAGCCCTTAGAGAGGAGAAATAACTGTTTCGGATCAATATTTTCCAGTAAATAGGTGTCCATGTCTTTGCTTTCGGCAGCTCTGAACACCTTTTAGCTCTTTGTAACAGAAGATTATCGAATTAATCAATAACAAATTCTGTCATCATTTATTCTCATTGGATTAAAAATTAAAATATAAAACACAGTTAATATTTCAGAAATTAACTGCCAAATAACTTAGTAAGTGCTTATTGAAATAAGAGATAATGTTATTCATTTATTTGAGATCATTGTAGATACACATGAAATAATACAAAGAGAGAGTTCCCTTCTGTACTGTCTTTTGTGCTAGTGGTTTTTTGGTTTTGCTATCTAATTAGTGCTGACCTTGTATAATGATTTGGGAATTATTCCTTTTTCTTTAATTTCTGGTAGGAAACTATGATAAGCTGGTGTTGTCCTATTCAGAAGTTTAGTATATTTTCCATTAAAACCATCTGAGCCTAGAAATTTCTTTGGGGAGCCTTCAAATTACAAATTCAATTTCTTTACTGATTCCACGGCTGTTTCATCTTGGTTAAATTTTGGCAGTCGGTGGTTTTCAAGGATTGGTCCATTTCTTCTAAGTTATTGAATGTATGAGCATAAAGTTGTTCCTTTATTATCTTTTCAATGGCTGTAGGATATGTAGAGACATTCTCTGTTTCTTTCTTGATATTGGTGATTTGTGCCTTCTATTTTTGTCAATCTTGCTAAAGGCCTTCAATTTTATTGACCTTTTCCCCAAAGAACCAGTTTTTGTTTCATTGATTTTCTCTATTGTTTTCCTATTTTCAATTTCATTGATTTCTGCTCTTATGTGTATTACTTCCCCTTTTCTGCTTGCTTTGGATTTATCTTGTCCTTCCTTTACTGGTTTCTTGAGGTAGGAACTTAGGTTACTGATGAGACCTTTCTTCATTTTTAATGTAAGCACTAATGATATAAATTTCCCTCTCAGCACTGCTTTAGCTGCACTCCACATATATTGATGTGCTGTAGCTTTATTTTTATTTAATTGTAGGTACTTAAAACTTTTTTGAGACTTCCCTTTTGACCCATAGGTTGTTTAAAAGTGCGTTATTTAATTTCCACATGTTTACAGATTTTTCTATTGTCTTTTGTTGTTGATTTCGAGTTTGATTCTACTGTGGTTGGAGAGCACACTTTGCATAATTTCAATTCTTTTAAATTTGGAGGTTTGTTTTATGGCCCAAGAAAC